TGCAGTATTACTCTCTAAAACATAAATTAGGGCACTGACACTGTAAATTCTTCTACTTATTTTTCAGTACCTTAGTAACCTATATAACTTTCTTATAGTTTATTCATTCGTAAATAATACATCATAGACTTCTAAGCAGATATCTTTTTAAAAACGTTTGTTGAAAAAAAGCTTGAAAATTTTGTGAAAAAAAGGATAATATCGATGTGAAGCAAGCACGACGAGTAGCTACCACGACGGATTTAGGTAAACCAAAAAATTCTGAATACTTGGACTTTTGGGGGCGGGATCTGGGTGCAGGTGCTTGTGTACACGTTGCCGAGCACTCTCACCCAACTTCCGTCCCAACAACGCCCAGCGTTACAGATTCCAAGCTCACCTAGCTCCGTCGTGCTAGCTTCACATCGATGTTTCCAACCTCAAAAATTCTTGCATAAACATTCAAGTATGGTACGATCATATACATCTCAACATCAAAAAGAAGTGAGCTGAGATTTAAAAAAAACCATTGCCACTCAATCAAATTAAGTCTATTCGATAGAAAATTTAATTCCGAATCGAACGATATATAGAGAAGTGCCTAGTTCGATTTCTAGCATAAAGAATTCTCTCATAAATGTTCAGTTGTGGCAGAGATGTATAGAGCTCAACCTGAAAAATAGAAGAGCGGATTTTTTAACTAACCATTGCAACTCAATCGGACTATCCGTATGGGATACAGATTTGAATTTCGAGTCAAAGTAGATGAATGAGGAAAATGTTTTGTTAGTCGATGTTGAAGTTTTCCTACCTTGTTTTGATATGATGTGTGTGTATGTTATTTTCTTTTATATTGTAGTTCTATGTATGGGATGGGTGGTTGAGAAGAACATTTTGCTGAGACTACTAAGTAGTATTTTTCGAATTTTGATCTGAAACTTTGTGCATATAGACAACTTAACTAGACTATCCTCCAAAAAAAGATTCCGAAGTTTTAAACAAATTCTCTTCAGAATATAAAAATTTCACGATATAGATCCTTTTCATGATAAGTCTACACAACATGCATATTTTGAAAGCTTCACGTATCGAAGAAACTTTGTTGAAAACTTCTACATTTCTTTTTATGGAAATTAGCCAAATTGATTTCTCTATGTGTACAAAGTTTCAAATCACAGTTCGAAAATACAAGTTGTCAGAAAAACCTGATGATCCTAGAAAATAGACGAGTTAGAAATTCGATAGCTTAGTCATGTATCAATAGAAACTGAAATCCGTTGAGGCGTTCTAATTAGAACGCCTTGTAGTATCTATAGGCAAAAAAAGATCATTGAAATTGAAAGAGGGCAGCTGAAGAGATTCCCTCATTAGCGAACTTCAGAACAGTCATGAAGTCCTAAAGCGAAGATAACAACAAAGGATTAATAGATAAGATCATGCAATATTGTTGATTGCTTAAATATAGGTTATATCGAAAACTTTTGTTCTTTGACTAACGAATAATTACTATGGAGAAAAAAATAAGAATTTTCGATAACTTTCACCTTTTCGATGATAGTTCTTAGATAAAATATTGATGTTTATACTGTATTTTAAAAGAAATTAAATGTTCAAAATGCATTGAAACCAATTTACATAATAATGTAACGAAAAATCTACAAGCTAAGTTTCCAAATGAATGCAGATATTTACTGCCAAAATAGATTCGGTTCATGGTAGATTTGTTTTAACAGTTCTTCATTACAATCAGCTTTTTCCTTTTTAACAAAAAAAGACATCCCCAGCTTGGTCAAGGTTTGGAAAATTCCTGAAGTTAAACATTGTGTATTATAATACAAGTGAAAAGCAGCAGATACAATAACTACCAAATATTCCATCAAAGTTTATGTTCAATTTTGCTCGACAACCTTAAACGTTCTAAAGAATTCAAATAGAGAATAGAGTGTAGAAAATTATTTCCAACAAGAATATTAAAAAACGTCTTTCGAAATTTCCGAAGTCTCGTTATAATATATAAACTACTTTCTTATTCCATCTCTGGAGGATTAAGTAAAATGATATCGAAGAAATGCGTCTCAAAATAGATAGAATAAAACAATATCTCCGTGATTAGCAATAGCAACAACATTGTGTTTCACATTTTAATCCCGCAATAACTGTGCTAACACTTTTTACTACCTAGAGAGTGAAATGTATAATTTTGTTCAGACTACATAGTATGATACAGCATACATACTCTACAACATGAAATGCCTCTGAGTTCTGTACGACCCCTTTTAGGTTGACATACAGCAATATGATTGTATATTCCATATGAAGTTTTCCATAGAAAATAATAGAGAAGCAGCCTCAAGAACTTCTTTAAAACTGCTGTGTCTCGATCCAAAAGGATAGTACAGAATGTAATAACGTCTCATTTTATGGAGTATTGTTTGCTCGATTGTTCTATGTGGGTCACTTATCGGTTATAACAGGGTCATAGCTATTTACCTTGCTTTGACATCGAAATTTTTCGCACCTGTCTTCTTCCCGCCTAAGATTACCCAAAAAATTGTTTGTCTCACTTCAAATAGTGATAAAGAGTTGATAGTGCTGTTTACGATTCGCATCTTAGAAGTATTCAGGTATTCTCTATCTAATAATGCAGAAATGAAGACACCGCAATATGTGAAACAGCTGATAGAACCAGATTGCGAACGAAAATCTTAGTCAGTCAATCAGAGCAACTCTTTCCTAAGTTCTACCACTTCGCCATTTCATTGTGTTATCCTCTAAAAATGATATAGCAGATCCAATTTTTCATGATCTATACAAAAAAGTACTTGAAGAAGAAAAAAAACCTGTTCCTTTGGGAGAAATTTATCCTTTTGGTAGTGAAGATCATCTTTTCATAGTTTTCACATTCTGTACGTCGTCCTATATGCTAAACTGACACAATTAGTATTCCATTGAACAGAGCACACCCGATTACCTATTTTAATTACTTTTCCGAAGATTTAGGACATTTAATTAGTGCAGCACTCACTTAAAAAAATACAAGGAGGGTCGTCTTGTTTGTCTCAGGTTGAAATGTTTCCTACATCATCTCCTCACTTGTTTAAATTGTTTAGACTAAAACTGAGGAGATATTCGTGATCGGTGCCGTGGACTGTATATTATAGCATATGTTTCATTACGAATCAATGAAAACAGTTTTGAAGGTTTCTGAAGTTTGAAGAGAAGTACAAGTATGAAAAAATCGTTGACAAATAAACAACAATAAGTACTCCTTAATTGTGATCAATGATTGATTTATTATCATCATGTGGTTTGTTTCTGAAAAACAAAATCGTGATAATAGAAACTAACTAATTGTCTTTACTCTTTTTCAACAACATTATTAACTGTTCTATTACAAAGACTGATGATCTTTTCCCATGAATCTGCGTAAGATCTGTAATGTTTTAAATATATCTAAAATAGGTAATCGAGTGTCTCCTATCCAATGGAATTCTAATTGTGTCAGATTAACAAACAGGACAATGAACATCATGGGAGAACTGTGAAAAGATGATCTTCACTACTAAATGGTAATTTTACCCTAAAAGAACAGATTCTTTTTCTTCTTCTTCAAGGACATATTTGAATAGAGCATGAAAAATTTGATCTGTCTATATCACTTTTAGAGAGTAATCGGGTGAAATAGCGAAATGATAGAATTTCAGAAGGAGCTGCACATATCAATTGACTAGAGTTGTTGTTCGTAATCCGATTCTATGAGCTGTTTCACATATTGCGATTGTATCATTTCTATATTATTAGATAGAGAATACGTGAATACTCCTAAGATACGATTCGTAAACAGTACCATCAACTCTTTAATACTACTTGTATTTCACTCCAAAATGAAACAAAAAAAAAACTTTTTCGATAACCTGAGGCGAAGGAAACACGTGCAAAAAATCTCGATGTCAAGGCAAGGTAAATAGCTATGACCACGTTGTAGCCCATAAGTGATTTGTTATCACCGAGAACTGTTTTTTTAAACACACTCTTTTGTGGAGAAAATGGTCTTCTCGACCCTCGCTCTTATACTTGCACGTACTAGATGATGAAAAAAAATCAGGATTTTAGTTCTTTAAAGATTCTGTCTCTGGGAATTTCAGAATAATTTTTTTCTTGTTGGAAACAATTTTCTTCACTCGAATCACTATTTAGACTCTTTTTAGAAATTAAGGTTGGCAAATAAAAAAGTTTGTCGAACTATTTTGATGACCACTATATATTTATATAATATTCTTTGTATGAGTTAGTAGCCCAAACAATATAATTATTATCAAATGATATACTTGCAATCGAATTAATTATTCTATTACATGTTTTCTTTTGCCCATAATAAAATAGCATATCAATTTATATGTGTTCATAATCTTATCAAATCCTTGAAATCATTCTCACACTTCTTTTCCTTGAATACTTGTTCTTCATTGGTTGAATTGTAAGAATAATCAACATTGATTAATAACGATAATTTTCTTTCTTAATTACATTGAACTGAGAGAACATTCATTTAAACAGTAAATTACAATTAGAATCTTTTTGATTTATATTTTCAAAATAATATGTAAAAACGACATAATCTCATGTACATCATTCAATTTTAACCAGCTAACACACGCACACACGTGGCTGATTATTAAACGGTATGTGCAAACATACATACATGCATGCATATAACATCAAGCGTGTATGATTTCTTCAATAGTGAACAATATTTAAAGTAATGTAAAAGAACAACAATTTGTAAAAGGTGATCAAAACGAAAAAAAGAAATACGCTCTATTAAATAAAAAGAAAAAAGTGAAGCTTTTTGTTTACATACCCCAGGCTAGAAACATCTAAACGACATTCATACATATGTTTATTTCTTTCAATCACATCATGATTTTCATGTGAACATTTAAACAAATAATGCTAACATTCAAATGACAACAAAACGTACTAAAGGCAAGTTTTTATCTATTCATTTATAGTTTAACTTAATGTTATATTCAATAGGTTTTGCTTCACTTGATCTTGTTTTACCCGTTGCTCCACACTATCGTACTGATCCGCAAGTACTCAAAGATGTTGAAAAAATGCGTACTAATGCAGCTAGTCGTTGGGCAAAATATGAATTTGCTCAAACACCTTCTGGATTTCATAATAATAATAATAATACTAATGACAATTCATCAAAAATAGCAGCATTAGCACGGCCGAAAATAGAAGTTTTACGTGCTAATTCACCCACACTTAAACGTTTGTTAGCTGCACGTATTAAACTTGAAAAATATGCTAATTCAACTGGACGGACTATGTCTGCTAGTCGACAATCTATGCGTTCAATACATGAGACACCATATCAGATAGCTCATGAAAAACAATCATCTGTATTATCAAAACCAATTCATGAAAAACAATCACCTACATTATCAAAATCAACTTATGTACCATCACAACCACCTCCAGCATCTTCACACCCAGTTAAGAAAATTAAATCTCAATCAAGTCTTGATAATGGACCACTTGATAAAATAACTTATGAAAAAACTTGGACACGTAATGGTAATGTAAAACAAAAATGTTCATTAGAAATTTGGTTACCTAAAGCGGGTCTTGATGATGATGATGGAAATACAACTCGAACAACAACACCAGATGTAAAAACAATTGAAAACAATTCTCAAACAATGCCTATTATTAAAAGTCGTCGATCAAGTGTCGCCAAAATAACAGCGACAACAACAATAACTAATATTGAAGCAAAATCATTAGATGAAATATCATCGAAAAAATCTGAACCTGTTGTTATACCACGTGTTTATCATTATGGAGATTATATTATGGATATACCTGAAGAACGACCACGTTCAAGTAAAAGTGTTACAACAGTTAAATCGGATGGTGCTGCTTCAATTAAAAGTGTTCGTCGTCAACAAACACGTCCACATACTGGTCGTCAATCAATATCAACAAATAATAGTGAAGAAATTCTTCGTTTTGGAACAATAGAGGTACCCAAATCAGCTAAAAATTTATCTGTTAATACAAAATCAACTAGTTCAAATCGTGAAATAAAACCTACAATAAAATCTAGTAATCCATCAATGATAAATGAATTAATGCAAAAATATTCATTAATAAAAAAAAATCATCAAGAATTAACACAAGCGAAATTACAACTTGAAAAACCAAATATTGATTCAAGAAATAATTCAAATTTAACTAAAGGTATTTATTAAAAAAACTATGATTTAAATTACAGTTTTTTTATTTGATTAGATCATTCACCACGTCCTCGACCACCTCCTGTACCTGAATCAACATCACTTGTTTCATCTGATCATCCAATAGTTTCTGTAAAAAGAATTCTTATTGATACATCAGTTTCACGTGCAACTAATGATCATAGTTATACAAATACAAAACTTCTCGAACGACGTTCATCTCCTCGTAAACCATCTCAACCGGACATATATCCTCAATTACGTATTTTTTCTCTTGCTAATCAACAACAACATCGCCAATCATCAGCAACTGAATCTGTTGTTAATGCTGCCCATTTACCGAATGTTAATGGAAAAAAAACCGATGATACACAACGTGCTTTACAACGTAGTAAAACATTAGATGTTGTCTTAGATATTCCAACATCAGTTAACGTACCACCACGTGCACCTATCCAAGCAGATAATTCATCATCTAATCGAATTCACCGTACAACAAATGGAATGATTGAACAAACACCTTCACTTATTTCTAATCGATCTGCACTTAACCTTTATTCTGAACATAGAAAACAACAACAACATAGATCATCTATTATTCAAAATTCTCGACAAAATTATCATCGTTCATCAACGACAACAACAACAAGCGTTCCAACAAATAAAGTACTTGTTCATTTTAATCATAGTAACAATGGAAATTTGGATCGCAATTATCTTGTACCTGAATAGATTTTTCGTAATATACTCTTAATAAAATGTAAACATATAATTTTTAATACTTATAAAAGACTTTACCATCATCTCTAAAAAAAGAGTTTGTTAGTGCAGCCCCTTTGAGGCTGAAATGTGAAGCTCAAATACCTTACTCTGCTTCATTATACTAATGCAAAATACGAAGTGTAGAGTTTTTAAAAGACAAAATTTCTTTTCTAACGATAATCGATTGGCAGCACACGCTATGCTTTTTTTTTCTACATTTCGAACAGAGTGTTTATTTTTTTTTTACTGACACTCTTTCTAGTTTTGTTCCATTTTCATAAGTTACTATTATTAGTCTAACCATTGATTTAGTGTTCAAAGAAATCTATTGTACACATTCTTTATATCTACAGTAAATCTTAACGATCTATTATATATATATATATATCGCTGAACTCATAAACATTGATATTGATTGTTCCTGAAAGTTAGAACTTACTGAGTTCATGCTTTTGTTTTGATCATATGACAGATGTTGGATATTAAAATATCATCCTTAATATCTTGAATATGATCGTGTACCTGGGCAAAAATCAGAAGGTGCGCTATTCAGGATTGTGAAAAGCGTATACCCGTAATATAAATTTTAAGGAATGTTCTAAAACCTTCAAACCATTGTTATTAATATCGTCTAGTGCCTTTAATCCCGATTGATAAGGTCTGTAATGGACAGAGAAGATGAATTTATCCCTGGTTGCTAGGGCCTAAAATGATGAAACCGCAAAAACGTCGATTGTAAGTTCCATTCAATATTATTTTCGAAGAGAATATACGCGAGTGCCACAAAAAGTATATCTTCTGAAATGATTTATTAGATACGTTTTGTTTTCGATACATACATACACACATACAAATATATAGACAAATAGAATGGAAGATACATATACACAGATCAAGTAAAAAGACCTGTACATAATATATATATTTTTTTTTCATCTAATTTTTAGATCCGAAACTAAGAAAATGATAGAGAGAGACAAAAAAAACATGGATACACAAGAGCAAAAACCGATTGAGAGTTTTGATTATTAAGAATAAATGTATTTAATTATGAATATCAACCATATCAAGTAAAGTAGATACATTAAGATAAGTAAAAACAGGTGATTGACATCGAATTGTATTTTCTACACCATCAAAGTAATTTAAAAGATGTACACCATTAGTTCGATTTCTAATAATACGTTCAATACGTTCATCATCTGGTATAAGATCATCAAATGTATCTTGATACGAAATAATATTATGTGGAAGATCATCTTCTGGAAGAATATTGGTATTAATAGAAGTTGATGTTTCAAGAGCTAATGATTCATCATATTTATTATTATTATTATTGTTATCCATTTCTTTAAAAGTATTTATTGCTGAGAGATCATCAATTGATGATGTACGACATATTCGATTACTATTATGATTAACAAGACCTAAAGCTCGACGACGTTGTGTTGAAACTGGAGTTGTAAACTTATTTTTATTAAAACGAATTGGTGTTGTTATTGATTCTGAACACATTTGTAAGTCATTCATACTTGTTGTAGCAATAAATTTAAGATGTTTATTATTAGTATTGGAATACGAAGCTAAATCATTCAATGTTGCAGATGATAACATACCATTACGTACTAAAATTTAAGTTAAATCATCGTAAAGCATATTTATATAAAATTCTTCGATAATATCCTCAAGGGTGATCATCCAAGCTTGAAAAATTTTCGTTTTTCTATAGCGAAGTTTGAGCATTTTACTTTCCTTTTTTCTTTGCTTAGCAATGCTAAAAAATGCTGATTCCTTCCTCTCCTGCCGACTTCGGAACACGTTTGAATATCCTTAAAATGATTGTTCATAAGGTGCTGACAAATTCTAAATTGGAATATAACTTTTTTTTGTCATGGTTGAATAGAGCTGAATGAGTTACCTATAGGAATGTAATTTTTGACATATTCAGATCATATTTTTGTTTTAGTGAAACTTAGGCTTAAAAAAAATCAAAGAAGCCTATAAAAATTGAAATACTCCAAATATATGAAGCCTCGATAGCCTTAATATTTATTCATATATTTCTTTTGGCTTAACTCATCATATAGTTATTGAAAAAAATGATGTATGTTTTTTTGAAAAAATATTGTTTGATTGTTGAGAAAATCGATTTTTTCGATATGATAGCAAAAGAGCAATAAATAGAGATTTGTATTTGTATTGAATAATTTTTAACCATCGAAGCTTTAGTTCCAAAAGAAACGAATGTCATATTTAGGATCAGCAAAATAGTGTACATTGAATAGTATACCGAATACTCAAAGCTAGGTTTCGTCGAATTTCGACGTTAGGGGGAGAACATAGGTGAGATTATTCGAAAATAAGGTTGAAGGGGTGTGAGGACCAACATTTGACGAAAACTAGTTTTGAGTATTGAGTATATTTATCGATGCAGATTTTTACGCTGCTTCTAAATATGATATTCGTATCTTTCGAAATAAAAAGCCTTGATGGTCGAAATCATTGAATATCAATCATCTTATGTATAGTTCTTTTGCTATCAGATCGAATAAATTGACTTCCTTAACAATCAAACAATATCTTCCAAAAAACATGCATAATATTTTTTGCATGATTATATGAGGAGTAAAACTAAAAGAAACATTTGGATAAATATTGAAGCTTGATACTTTTGACGTATTTCAATTTTTATAGGCTTTTTTGATTTTTTTAAAAGCCTATGTTTCACTATAAAAATATGATCTGAATATATCAAAAAAAAATTGCACGAATTTTGATTTGCCGCCACTATATATGTGTATTCAGTTCAAGATACATCTATAAGAATTTCATATTGGTATTGTAATAAACGAGTAAATAACTCTGATGATTAATTCTATCTTATCAATTTTTTCATCTTGTCATTTAATTAGATTGAAATTGAATTAAAATTCAGTAATCCAAACTCTCTGTATTAAAAAAAAATAAATATGCAGAAGAAAACGTCACCATGTTTACCGTCTATGAAGATCGCAAACGTCACTTTCCCACGCATAGAATGGAAAAAAGCTGTTAAAGGAATTCTTGCAGAATAAAAATATGAAATACAATGAAGTTGCTGTGACTAATCACAGGGAAACTATTTTTTTTTTAGTTAGAGTCCGTGGAATCCAACATTTTCGAACTCAATGAAACAGTACTTTGATATTTTCTCAATGGAATATTCTAATCGGAAGTAGATAATCTTCCAGAAGATACGAAATACTTTTTTCGGCTTTTTGTATTCGGTAACAAGCCCATCCTACATATTTCTCAGACGATTAGAACTCATCAGAAGCGAAATATTTTGTCTCGACGGGCTCTATTTCGAATATATTTCTTCTGCATCTTTTTACTCAAATCCTCTAGAAATGCAATAAGGAAGTGGTTGATAGATTATAACGAGACGTTATTTATACACTGTCTATGATTTTATCCCAATAACATTTGTCATGCGCGGTGGGGAAAGCTTTGCTAAGGCGTCTGTCAGTTTTTGATGAAGATATGTTGCTAAAGATGTCTGTTACGTTTGTGGAGATTCGAATGTCTACTATTATAATTTAACACTCCTTTTTGGATCGTGTTTCACGAAATTGATACTCTATTTCCTACTCTTTGTAGACTAAATGACCTTTATTTGAATGATAGATAGATATTTTCGTCATAGTGCAAAGTTCATTATTAATTACTCACGTGGCGTACGCAATGGATTACGAAGTGGCGTTTTAAATAAAGAAAATTCACAGCCATTCTCTTTTGTTCGTGCTGCCGTCGTCATTATTTCCGTCTAGTTATTAAAACAAAAATGATCTAAAACAATCAAAAGGTTATCAATACTTTTACTTGGCAAAATCATATCCTACTATTCCTTTTTTCTTCATGATTTTCAAAATCATTGATTATTTAATACTGAAATTGTATTTAGTTCAAAGATGTTTCAGTTCTTATGAATACGTTAAATCAACTCAAGATATCATGTATGGACAACCGACAATAATTAATCCAATGATAATATATATACAAATACGAAACAAGTATTTGTTTTCTTATTTCATAGACAAGACAACTTTTATCATAGAAAAACAGAAAAAAAATTAAGAATAAGCACGCAAAGAAAATAGTTATGTTTAGTGTTTCATTAATGTTATATTTATTGGTTCATTGGATCTGGTTGTGGTGATGGACCAGTTGCATTTACGTCTGGTGTTGTGGGAACTGTTCCTGCTTGACCTTCAATAGCATTGGGAGCGTTTAAACCTTCACCGGGTGGATCATAAGAAATATTAAACATTTCTCGTACTTCCGACGATGATTTGCCACGAACCATATTGGCTATTGTTTTACAACCAACAGCAAGTAATGTTTTTATACCCAAATAATTAGCTGCCTATTAAGAACAAACCGAAAAGAATTTCATTTTGATTGAAATATATTTGAAAAATAAAAACTTACCATAATAATATCAAAGAGTGTACCTTCTTGTACAGTAAACTGTTTAATAAAATTTTGATCCCATTCACAAATGTCATCCGAACTGAAATTAAAAAAACAAAGATTACATATTTTCATTCTAAGAGAATAATTTCTACCGTTTTGGTTCATAAATATCTTTATTTGGATCATCATCATCGTCATCATCAAGTGGTTCAGGTTTTGGATCATTTTTATGATGATTACAAAAATCAACAATCTATTTTTACAAAAAGTGAACTTTTAAAGCTATTTAAATAAAAAATTTTCTTTTCAAACTAACTGGACCAAGAATAGATGCTTTGACATTAGGTAATGGAATTGGTACATCTCCAACATCCATTACTAAATAAAAATAATTCAATGGAATCAATTTAAAAAAAAATAAAAACAAAATTTCAATAAATTTACAATCAGATAATGTCTTAATAGTTGATGATTGTTCGACAACACCTTGATCAATTTCAAATATCTGGTCATCGTTAGATTTAATTTTAATTATTTTTGATGTGGCACTTTCTGTGTTATTAGTTGTTGCATTTGATGCTTGTGCTTCAGTAGTTGCCATTTTTTTTTTAAATCTAAAAAACAAAAAAACACAGCATGCAAGGTTCTTTTACAAAGGTGTTTTTTTTTATCAGAATGAAACGTGTATGTATACAAGCTATCATGGACAACTACTTAAGAACGAAAAAGAAAGGAAGAACACGAAAATTTCATAACATTGCGCAAAAACAAACATTACGATTACTCAAATTAAATGACTATGATGAAAAAGTAATCGATATTTATACAAGACAAGTATTAGTCAAAACAAAAGCATATATAATGACCCATCTAGTCAACCAAGTATTATTAAGCTGTGTGAATGACTCTTTATTCCTTTCATCAATAATAATATGTGGAAAAGAAAGACGTGATTGTTGGAAAAATTAAAAAAAAACCGTTATGGATCCCGAATGGTTGAATTTGAGTTAATAGAAAATGGGGAATTTTAGAGCTTGATAAACTCTTGAGAGCAGTTTTTCGTACTAAAAATTATTAAAAAAATCAGCAATTAATAAGGAATAATTTTGTTTTTTTAAGGCATAGATGGCGCCATAATTCACTGTTCGCATCGTAACTAGTGGACTAGTCAATGGATAGATTGACGACCGAAAGTATTTTTATTTGCTTTTTCGCCGCGGTGATGGCGACTAAACTGACTGAAGAAATGCGGCAAACCATTGACGAGAGCCGGTAAAAACTTTTCGAAAATGCCAACAGAAACGGTCGTTCTACCGATAGAGTTAAACCTATTACGTTCGTTTGCTTTTGCTGTTATTTCAGCAGCAACTTCATGTGAGTACTCTACAAAAAACAACTTTGAATAGATGAACGAAATGAGTGAATTATAGATTCTATGGTACTTCTTTCGATCAACGACACCACGGCACCCACACTCTTTGATACTCCCTCCGCTCTCTTTGATGTGTGTTGTAAGTTTAACCAATACGATGAAGGTGTCGTCGATCTGAAGAAGAACCGATTCTATTATTCAACGTTTCAAAGTTCAACTGTGTATAATCAGGCAACAAGTCTTCTCTTCTTAGCTTGACAGAAAACCATTGTTTTAGTCGTGTTGATAGAAATGTGGTTTTATCCAAATTTGTCACAGCTCACACATAAGTCACTATGAAAAATGATTTTTTGTGAATACGGTTTTTCAGATTAGTAGCGAAAATGAATTTTCATTTTTTGAATGTTCTCATCAGATGCAAGGGATTTCTTTCTAAGTAATATTCTAACTTGGTGTACACAAGTTGTATAGATTCATAATCATATTCAGCACGTCTATTGATTTAATGTATCGTACAATAGATGGTATGAGACGCTTCACAAGATTAGAACAGTTTCAGAAAAAATGATTTGATTTTGAAATGAATTATTTAGTTTGAGAGAATATAAAAAATTAGCCGAGAGTCCCAATGTGAACCACACTCTGGAAAAATCTGCCAAACTAGAATTTTTGGTTACAAAAAATACTTGAAAGCATTGTGTCTAAATGTATCAATCGTTAGAGCAAAATTTTTTGAGAAGAATTAATATTTGAAGCACAGAATTTATTATTGGTCAAATAAGTGCTAGATGTTCATTTTATCTTTGTACTATCGCATAACAAAATGTTATCAAATAAAACAATTTCTGAAAGTTGTGCACGAGACAAAAATTCATATTTATATTCCTCAAGGTAATAAAAGTACGAAGAGATAGGATATTGCAATGAAATTGATTCAAAATAAATTTAATTGAAACACTGTTAATACGGTGGAGGATAATATCAGTAAGTTGAATAGTTTAATATAAAAATAATTTCTTTATCATCTTTCAATGACTCTGTTGTTTATATTAATCCTTTAAAAATGAATAACCCTTCCAGCCCAGGCAAGCAAAGGACTAGTCTTTTTTGCCAAAAAGTCCTTGCATTTGACTAATCCAAAGTCATTTTTGGTCCACAGGTCATGTCCTGACAACCGTCCAAAAGTGATTAAAAAAAAAACGAAGAGCGTCCTCGACAATGCCATACGACGAAATGCAGTATCATATAATGGTCGACTCGTACTAGTCTAAATGAGAGAAATATAAGGAAGAAGATTAGATTTGATCATGCACGTGAGATATCACTTACCAAGCACCTTGTCGATTGAACTATACTACCAAGTGGTCAACTTTCATTTGTTGATAAGCATTCTAAGATGCTTTTTAATACAATTTCACTTAGAGTTTTCTAGATTTCACTAGGAATAAAAATTTTTGTCATAGAATACTGAATTAGTCGCATAAAATGGAATAGAACTAATTTAAGTTTTTTTCTTCTTACTGATGTCTAGGAAAAGTATTTTCTATTGAAAAAGAAACCAAACACAAAGCTAAATTAAAAATAATCTAAAATTAAAAAACTCATTTTTTTCACATCATGAGTGACGTTTATTTCAATTTTAAATTTTCAAAGTTTAAGCAGCAAAATAAATTGAATTTATTCAATTTACATATTCCTCAATTTAAAACACCAGAATTTGTATTAAAATGAAAATGAAATTCTAGCATAAAACTATTCGAAATATTTTTAAACTTAATTATTTCTAATTTATTTTACAGTCTAATAAATTTTAAATAACTTTAATAAACGCAGTTTTCGTCGACAAGTTAATCAGAATAATTTGCATCTTCATGTAAATCTTTGCGCTACAATATCATTTCGTACTTTTAGTAGAGAAAAGTATAAGATTTTACTCTTTGCAAAGATGCTCGATAAACTCCTTTCTATGAAGTAAAGAAAATTGCAAATTTGCACACCAAATAAGGTGAAGTTTATAAAAAACAGGTATTTATTAAATCTATGGAAGATATTTTGGGACTAGTCAAGTCGCTTTTCTTCAGTTATCTTCAATTACATATCAAATATATAAGAGTCAATCTATTATTTAGACTGCTTAAAACGATGTTCGTCTATTGTCAAATCCTAGATTGCCGTCAGAAGGCCCGTCCGATGTTGAATGCTGTCGGATCAAATGTTCGAATCCACACCTACTCTCGTTATTTCTCGCTTTTTTGTCCTCCTGACTGGTCTCGACGTAGTCAACAGACTAGAGATGGCGGATGCAAAGACTTTTCGGGCTAGCCCAAATGTAGTTGAAGGACGGTTCTCGAAAACGTGACTGATTCTAACAGATATGCAAGGCGTCTCAGGCTAAACCTAACTGGTAGTATAGGCATCTTAGGCTAGTCTTGGACGACGTCATTATTTATGTTTTGCCTACCTTTAAGAGGATATATTAATGATTTACTCGAAATCTTGCATTAGAAAACGAATAGGTTTTAAGGCAAATTTTGTCTGCCAGACTGCACGAATCTGGAGAGCTATTTTATTTTGAATATAGGATTTCGTCACAATCTTCATGTCAGCTATCTTGATTTTTTCGAAGAAGAATAACCGACCGTAAAGGGTTAAGATACTAAAATGTACACATGCGAGCAATTATGTTCAACGCTCGTTCATAAATTGTAATTATAAGAGTCTTTTTTGATGCTGTACTATCATTAAGGAGGTTGTTTTGAGAACAAGAAGTATTGAGTAAATAGAAATGTTTCTTCACGATCAAAATACAATCAAGACAATTATAATCTCATGTTTTTCGCACTTGTTTTACATATCTAATTGTTATATTTATGATCAGTGAGTGAGTGTAGTTGTGAAGAGAAGATCAACATGCACACTTTACATCTGACTATATATCTAAGGAAGATATTGCATTAAAGTATAACGTTATGTGCTAGAGTACTAATTTAACTGGTATTGTTTGAATGAGGATTTGTAACTAGATTGAGTAAATGTTTATTGAGATGTTGAATTTTTTTTCTTTTTAGCAGCTGATTCATCGGCATTGACTCAAGTAATCTTTGTGTGAATATGTAAATCGTGGTCTAATAATAGATTTTCTATAAACTTCCATAGAGTTGGGTGTGAGTATTGAAAAACATATTCTAAAGTCAGAAAATTGTTGGTTAATACAAACAAAAAATATTTTTAATTTTTATATGTACACTTCCTGGTACGCCTATTTCATGCTTCAACTAAATTGTTAGTTCTTATCTGTAGATTTTTGATTCGTTGATGAGAATTTTAAAACTCAACAATAAATAATGGTCGTACATGTGAATCATGAGCACGAAGTCGCTCTATATAATTATTTTCGAAGTAATCTAGCATTCCTTGAAATGTATTACCGTGATTAATATCAAGTTGTGTAAATGCACCACGAACATCATCTGGATACATCAAAGCTAGCACCGCAATTTTACGGATGCCATCAACAAAATCAAAATTATCTTCATATTGCTTTTGAATACCTTTTACCTGAAGTAAAAAGTACGTAATATGATCAAAATTATTTATTTTGCTATCATATGTATTAATGATACGTGCTATTGTCAATGTATACTTTGACCTAGATGGAAATAACAACTAGATAAAGATACTTGTGAAAAAGTACTTGAAAAAATATTCATCACTGCTTTCTCGAAGTTTATCATTATATTTTAAGGACTCCATGCTGACGCAAATTCTAATATTTTATTTATCATTTGTTGATATGTGATGATGCTTTTTTTGTCGAAATAGAAGAAATATTACCAAAATAATATGTTTGCGATGTATAGTATGGATTGTGTATAATTGGTGAAATATTTCTAGAACAATCTAGATTCAGATAAAAGTTTTAATTAGTTATAGTAAAACTCATTTAGAAACAAAATATAGCATTCGTCAAACGATCCATCGGTTAGAAAATCAGTGGAAGATTCCTCAACTATCGTTTGTTCAAAGTGGCAAAAGATAAGTATTTGGTCAGCTCTTAAACAGAAATATTGAAGTATGCTATTCATCGAACTTTCTAGAAAATATCTCTGATGAGATCATCAATGAAAGGATGTATTACTTACCTGAATCTATTTTAATTCGTAAAAATTTTCATTTCATTTTGTTGATTATAAAACCATAGGAACACTTGGAAAATCAGCATTATTTGGTATTTGTGATAAATCATGTTTTTAATATTTCCGATGAATTCTTTCAACATGATCTAATGATGGGAATCGCATACTTACCGAATCAGATGATTTTGACATACATTGTGATAGTATAGTGTTTGTTGTTTCTTGAGTATTATTTGCACGATCAGCAACATTTTCACGAAATTTTTTAGGTGATATTTTAACTGAATCATGCATGCTTACTGTATGTTGTATGATTATCATTTTGTTTTAATATTATAATATATGCTTTAGTACTACTAGTCGAATTACATGTGTGTATGGGATAATGACAATTGAAAATTTTATGATTTTCACAAGATCAGTAAGTTTTATCGTTGGCTCGACGATTTTAAGTGTAAGAATAACCATCTATTATCATTAATAAACGGTCTTTCGTGGTAATGGTGAATTAAACAGGAATATTTGAGTATTACTGATAAAGAATTATTTCGATTGCGAATGATCATTCTTATATATACGATACCTTTTATTTTTGAAACAAGCTCATCTTAATGAGATCAAAGTATAAAAAACCGCGACATCTTATAATTACGATTAATCATTTAGCAAATAATGTAATAATCCTTCAGAAGCAGACTTTAAGAAGCATACGAGAGGCACAACGAGTAGTCGGAAGTTTAAAATAGATGGTTATTACTCGTTCTCGAACATATTTTCATCATTCGAAATTCATTGAAAGTTCGACCACTCAAAGAGGACAAACCTATCGAAAAACTAGCTTTTCTGCTCGGTATAATTTTGAATATTCGAAATTTCTTCAATGTCTGAATTTTGAGAGATTCTGTATTATTGTTCATTGATATTGCCAAAGTTATTTATGCTCGGCATACTTTCTTGGCTTTTTAGAAGAATCCTTATCATGTACTCATTGAAACTATGAGAAAAATGGGCTTCTATTTCTGATCAAGGCATATTGATATAGAATTTGCAGTTTCTAAATTATTTAAAAACAATTCAAAACATTATTTTGCCGTTTTATCACGCAGACCAATGAATTTTGATACACTTTATTTATTAAACAAGCTCTTGCAATAAAATTCTGAAATTTCAAAGAATTTTCAACTAATTAGAGCTCTTTAAAAAAGTTAAATAATTTTGTTAAAAACTGTTACTTTTTCAATATTTTCTTAACTCATAGATGAGATTTTAAAATGCAAAGAAAGGAATATCGGAATGTTTTCTTATGTAGATGAAAAAGATGCTTTTCATACAAAAAGAATAGTTCATATTTAGTTTAGATTCTCGACGAAAATTTGTTAATTCAAGTACCTGTGTTCGAATGTCTTCTTCTGCACTTATCCGATAGGCATCGGCAGCTTCGACATGAGAAATCTAGCGTACAACATTTTAAAAGTTTTCTCAAATTTCAATTCCCTCGAAAAGGGTTCTTCAATGGTCATCGACTAATACATTGAGTTCCTTGTATATATGAGTGTCTCTAAATATATGACAGTGTCTTATAAAAGTGATCAAAAAATTATTTTTGAACCAAATTAATGAGCTTATGAATATAATCATATGCCTTCTTAGCAATATTTCAGTTGCATGTATTTGAATGTCTTACCTGCTTGAGATTTTATTATCTTGTGGATCACAAATCTGAACTTTTTACCTCGTGTACAAGTTTTGTCGTGCACAACATTCGAAGTCCTATGTGTAACGGGAACCCGAAACTTGCGCACGACGAAACTTGCGCACGGAAATTTGCGCACGACAAAACTTACGCACGGAAACTTGCGCACGGAGAAACTTGCGCACGAGATAAAAAAATATCATATTTACAAATATGAAATTAAATAATCTGATCAATCATTAACTGTAATGACTAGGCATAGTCTGTTTGATTATTTAATCTAATTAAAATGAGCTTATGCTCAGAACAAATGTGTCCTATATATGAGAGATGGTCATTCACATACGAAACATTTTATTGTTAATTCTTNAATTTAAGAATATTTTATTTGACGATCAATAAATAATATATTAGTCTAAATTCAATGATTATATTTAAATACTTATATTATTTAACAGATTATGTGGCTCGTTGGAAAAGGACGATTAAAAATAAAAGTCAAATATGTCAAATATAGGCTGAACTTCTAGCTTTATTATAGATCTTTTACGGCTTTTAAAAAAATCTCTACGGCTACCATCTTTTTTATTAGAAATACAAAACTTCGATTGACTTCAAATGAAAACCGACACCTGTAGACAGTTTTCTTTGAATAAAATTTTCCAAGTCACTGTTGTTTATTTTTTATGAGTAGCTTAATAAGCTTGATTTTGAAATAAGCATAAAAAAGGTGATCTTACGCTACTAAGGTTCCTCTTTTCTAAACACAGGAATCAACCATTAAGAAAAACCTCTGGTTGAACAAAACTTTACTTTTATTTAGTGCTTCAAAACAAACAAAAAATCACATGGGAAAGAATTTCGATTTTTCTTACTGGAATCATATTTTGACAAAAAAACTTTAAAAGAAAAGTGCAAACGTTTTCATGGAACCTATGATAGTAGTATGAATATTGCAGCTATAAATCTATTAAAATCTAGCTATCTTTCAAAAGATTATGTGTACATTATACGAGAAAAACGTTCCACATATCTTCTTCTGACAAAAAATTGGTTTACTAAGATGTCATTTAGATTAAAACATATAACTTCGATCATACCGATACAAATTGGTGAATGCTTAATTTTTCTTTTATATGAAAACTTACCTGTTCTTTATTACTTATTGGTGCATGAGGTAATTTACCACTAAACATTTCGAATAGTACACAACCATATGCATATACATCAGAACTAGTTGAATAACAATTTGAATCTTTTTGTTGAATGACTTCGGGTGCCTTTAGAAAGAAAAAAAAATGATATTTAGATTTATAATTTATTGAGGACAAAAGAAAAAACAATAATATTTACCATCCAAAGAACTGAACCAGTTGGTTGACATTGTTGATTAACACCTTCGACTGGAACAGTTTTAACAGCAGCTAAACCAAAATCACCAATTTTGACACGCCAACTAACTCCAACATCATCAGTTTCAGCACACATATCCAAAAACACATTGCTAGATTTTAGATCACGATGTATTATTTCGCGATCATGTAAATACCTTTAAAACAAAAATGTTATTCTTTATCTTTCTTATTAATCAAATCTACTAACGACATTCCCTGACATATTTGTCGTGCAATATCAATTAATTGATTAATTTTCCAAAGACGATCAAGTATATGAATATGTTTATAAAGTGTTGAACCCTAAAATAAATAAATTTATAGATGCATATATATTAAATGATTAAATCTCATATTCGTACTTCACACCATTGCGTTACAATAGCAAAACGAGGTGCAACCATATATCCGTAAAAATTTAATGTATTTTGATGAGTAATTTTTCTAAATAACGAAACGAAATTTGAATTAAAAAAATATTTTATGAATAAATAAATATAAAACAAACTTTAATGCAGAAACTTCATTTCGAAATGCCTGAAATTGACTCGGTGTTGGTGAAACAAAATTTAATTCTTTCAATGCAACGTGACCTAGTCATTAATTACAAAACATATAATTATCCTATTATTTGTGTTTTTTATTTATTCATACCGTGTAATCTCAATTCCGCTTTATATACAGTACCATAAGTGCCTCTGCCTACCATTCGTCCATGATTGAGCAAATCTTCTGGTCGAATTTCCCATTCACTGACAGATTTCTTTAAAATAGAATTTCATTTTCTTTTTCACATAATACATTGAAAGATACTTACATGTGCAGGTTTTTTCGTATCAATAACACCATTACTATTAGGTTTAATGATCATAGGTCGAAGACGTTCTGGACTTGTCAACGTTGAACCATTAATAGCTATTATTAAAAGAAAAATAGAAAAATTTTAGAATTCTATAACAGAAAAGTCAAGTGTGATGTAGAATCAATCAAAGGTAATCAAAATAAAAAAAAAAAAAAAAAAAAGGAAATTATCAAACAAAGTGATTGACAGAATTGAGCGGTGTAATTTTTTTTTTAATATGTAGAAATCTTACTCAGTAATAACTGAGGAATGTGATGAATAGGTGATGTTGCTGATGGTAACGATGATGATATACTTGTTGATGATGGTTGGAAGAGTGAATTCGACGATATATTCATTGTCGATTGTATAGCATTCGGAAAAGGATCAACATCTGTTGTTGTGGGCAGTGGATTACCATGCGAATCTTGACTGATGTCCTTTTGTGGACCTGCCAAGGTACAAACTGATTTATTGCTTAGGGAAAGGAATAAATAAGGGATAGAAAATGAAAAATTAAACACCACCAGAAATGAAATATGTGCCATTGCTAAACATAGGGTATTTTAGGAAATTAAAAAAAAAAAAAAGCAAACATTAAAATAATAGATTCTATTCTGATCTACCTACGCCACATATGCAGTAACATCTGCAGAGATGGTTAAAAATAGAATATAGACAGAGAGAAAACAAAAACGTTTAAAATACAAAAATAAAAAAATAAATAAAAATAACATCTTACCAACTCCTTGACTTGTATTTATAGTTGGTCTCTAGAAGAAAACAAATTTTATTCAAATTATATTTCATAGAAAATTGATATACCGGTAATGAAATTCGAGGTAAACTGCGTGATTGTTCTTTATTTCGTGATTGAGTACTTGTTCGATCCAAATTAAAACGATCGGGACCAAGATGTTTAATATGTCTATTGAGATTAGGAAGAAGAAAAAAAAGAAATAAGTATAATATATTTCTTTTTTAATTTCTGAAAAATACAAAAACAATGATACAAAACACATACTGAAGAATAGGATGAAAACAAACAGGTGCTTTTGAATAACATCCATTATGATAATTATTACCACATGAAACACAATGTTTATAAGGTTGACGAATACGACGATGACAAACAATACAACGAACACCAATAAATACAGGAAAACGTGGTGGTGGAATATTTTCCTATATTTATACATAGATACGAACATCAAGCTTTCACAATATAAATAGCAAACATTTAAATAAAAATACCGAATAAAATCTTGATGGACAATGTGACATATATGTGATTTACGTATACATCGAGTATGTATACGAGAACCACATACAAGACATCGTAGTCCTTGCAAAAGTATTTTGTGACATATGTCACAATAAGTTAAAGTAAAAAATCTTTTTCTGATCTATGAAAATAAAATATTATTTATAAAAAAAAAGTGTTTGATGTTTTTTTTTAATTAAATTCATAAAAGAGCTTAAGAAGTAAAACTATTTAAGCTCAAAAATATTAACTTATTTCATTAACATAAGCTAAACAGATATTTTCGATATTAAGGTATGACGTCAATGTTGAACGTTAGACATTCGGATAAATGAAGACAGTTTTAACAATTCTTATAAGTTCTTATTTCTAAAATGTAGAATATAATACTTACAAATGAATGATCAAGTTTAGGATTTTCTTCGAGTTCAATTTCTGTCTCACGTAAACGATCAAGAGTAATATCCCATGGACATGGTTGCCTTTTTAATAACAAAAAGAAAACTTTATATTAAAAGAATAACAAATATTTAAAGCTAGTACCTTGAAATCATATAAACTGGTGTATAAGCTCGTAAATTAGTTACTGAATGTCTTGAAGCACGGGATTCAAGTGCTATTTCAAGTGTTTCATCACTTTTTGGAGCAAGCTAAATTTAAAAAAGAATTAAAATACTATTTAAAACACATTTCAATCAAAATTTACAGCAGTTGTATGTTTATTTGGAAAATGAACACGGATAAAATTGTTCGGTGTCATGCTTGGACTACGTGGTCGTTGAGGAGAATCTATTGATAACGAATGATAAAAATAATTTGTTTTCGAATGATCATTTACGAAAAATTTTATTTTTATACCTGAATGTATTGATGATGTTGAAGATGTATGTTGATAATGAGTTTGTTCTGGTGGTGATGAACGATTTGATTGAGACATTGTTGGAGAATATTGTAATTGCTGTTGAAATTGAGTATTCATTGGAGACACATCATTAGGTGAGGATGAATATGGAAATGTTTTTCCGGTAGTTTGACCTTCAAGTTCATGAAGATATTCAGTTAATGTATCGCGTGCTTTTGTCAATGTTTCAATACGATCAGTTAAACGTTGAAATTCCTTAATGAAGAAAAAAAAAACAAAAATGAAAAAGTTTTCTTTTTTTTATCATTCAATATTTTCTTACTTGCATATAAAATGGGGGTCGTGTTTCACGAAATGCTAAATTATAATTATTAACGTCAGCTGTAAGATGTTTAATCATTTTCATTAAATCATCAAGAATTTGTTGACATTTTTGAGGATCTTTATCACGTTTTCCTTCTTCAATTTTATCGAATATTTTTCGATGAAAACTATCTTCTTGATTTGGTGAATGATGCAGCTGTTTGTATGAATCTATCGGAACCGTGCTACTATTGCTACTTGTAGCACGATTTGCTTGAAGGACCACAGCCATGAAAAAATAATAATTACTATGGTTCAATCATCTACATAACACGAATCAAGATAATAAACAATAAATAAAATATCTTTACTTTGATAGGCAAAAATCGTGTTCAAAATATCATTTGTATATCTACAATATGATTCAATGATTATATGACAGTTGTCCAAATAAAACAAAAAAATCTTAGAAACAAGACGTATATAAAACATTACATTATGTTCTAATGTACTTTTTTTCTGTTCTTTTTTAATGCACTTGTAGTAGTAATAAAACATGTCTGTCAGAAAAAGAAAAGAAAACAAAATAAAACATAAGAATATAAGTGAATGATTAAGGTAAATTTCATGCATATTTTTGAGGTGGCAAGGAAAAAATCTCATAGACGAAGAGAGACAACAACAGTTGATGACGTACATACTCGTGAAGCGAACTTCCAACGAAGTACCGCTGTTGCGATTTCCTTCCTCTTCCTCTCTCAAATATCTGCAAAGGTACGATGAATGTCGGAGTTGCTTGTCTACTCTATTTTTATTTTTATGTTTTCTATATTAATTCTGTTCTCTTTTTTCTCTGCACCAAGAGAAGAACATACAAATAACAATTGCTTATTAATAATTCATCATTTCATTGAAGAGGAAAAAAAAGGACATTCATGCAAGCATGATTTCTACTATTAGTTAGAAAATATTAATACTAAATAGAAATAAATCCTATTCAGACATATTTATATGACAAAAGTGTACTTAGATATTTTCTTAAAAGATTATATTTTAATCAAATAAAGTAACAGAAAATAAATATATGTCTACATACGCATAGAAAATAATCTATTCTAGTGTTTATTTCATTAACTAAGCCAACGTCTTTTTCTATAGACTGACGCACAATCATTCGTTTCTTTTCTAAAACCATTAGTAGTAACTTTTGTATTTTTTTCGTTCTATAAGACATGCAAACGACTATATCCTTTTTTCTTTATGTTCTTTTCTTTTTTGTTCTTTTATATTCTGTGTCATTTTTTTTTCTCAATTGTATAACTCATTCGCAATTATGCAGACGACGACGACGGCATGCGGTAGTAGAACCTTGAACAGCTCAAGGGTCGAGCGACATCAATCATCGAGGGTTTCGTATTACATGCAAAAAAAAAAAGAAAGACAAAGCAGAATAAAAAGAAAACACATGAGACACATGCGTGATATATCTTGCTACTCTATCACACTAATGATGCACATATACTATAGACAATTCTATTCAGTACACCTTCATCATAATATTACTCTTTTCTTGTATAGAAAGGCAAAGCAACAAAATCATTTAAAATATCTTCTACTATTTTATGCCAATTGAGACTCATAAACGACATGTAATCAAATGTGATTATTACAATTTTTGAAAAAGGAAATAACAACTTGCATAATATCATATGATTAGCCCTACTAGATCGAAACTCACTTATATTTGAATATATTTAATCATAAAATGAATATGAAGTATTTATTCAGTTCTTATTTCTTTTTTTACAAATATGATTCATCCGATGATCAGCCAGGTAATAGATGATTGAATGATCAAAAATAATAATAACAACAACAACAACATCAATAACAACAACCAAAATATATGCACTATTCGATCCAATTATTGATTTGTTTAAAAAAGACAACCAATCGTGTGATAGAAGATATAAGAGGACGCTACTGGCTTACATTTTAAATGTAAATAGAAAAGTACATTTAATATCGTGACACATACTTAGCTTAGCCTTTAGGGACTTGATACTGGGGGAAGGCAGAGAATCGCATTTTCTGTTTTGAGAAAATTTGCATTCTTTCCCACCAAACGTTAGTTCTTTTTATTGATAAAAATAGAATCATAAAACGACAACGAAAACACATGTTGTCTCCTGTGCTTTAAAAAAACATTATAAATGCTTTTTTTCAGCTGTCAGAAAAATTTTCTTGTCTCGTCTTCCTCCACAATTTGCCTTTTTCTTCACCACATCTCTTGTTGACTTGAATCCTTTTTTTTCATACGATGAGAACGTTACCATAATGTTTTGATAATAAATATTTTTAAAAATAAATTTTTAAAGAAAATTTCATTATTATAAAAGTTTAGTATCTTATCTACTAGCAGAATTAGGTAACATCTTCTTACGCATGAGAGAAATTGACTGTTGAATCAGTATTTTACTACTTTTTTTCAAACTTTTCGGATTTGAACAGTCTAAATGATCTTTTCATCAAAGTAGAACTTTCATGCTTTATTATCACCTACATTTAAGTTTTTTCTTTCTTCTTTAGGTCGTTCAATTACGATAGTCCATAAGTCAAAGATAGATATATATGTTGTCTATGAATAGATCAACAAATTTATAGTATAAGACAGCAATCACCTTGACACTTTTGTTTTTGTTGCCTATGTAACGTGCACCATATTTTGTCTTAATTCCGTTTGATCATTCTCTAACAGAAAGAATAGAGTGCATTTTTTTTTGAATATGTTACTTGAATAGCATATGTGAATGAAATAATATCATCATGACTAACAAGTACTTTGTTTCAGAGAAGAAACCTCGAAATTATTTTTCATTAATATTTGTGATGGTTTGCGAGTGCATTTCAACTTCTAGAAATTTTAATAATATTCTTCGGAAAAGTTTTCTTAATGTTTAATATTAGCCGGTTCGATTGGTCTGATCTTTGGCTTTTTTTATATTAAGATAGAGCAATAAATATTTACATTTTTCAATTTATATGAAATTTTTCAAGCACTTAGAAACGTAACATATAAATCTGTCGAACATTTTTGTAAACCTTCTAATACTTAAAAACGAAAATAAAACTTTCAAGTAGTTCGTACAGTTATACAAATGGCAAATTATTCAGTAGGCAAAGTTAGAAAATATTCAATGTTATATATGGAAAAGGTTTCAGGAAACAATAATTGTCATCTAGCATTGAATACTTCATTGACAACGATATTTTATAGCTCAACATTTTGTTTTTTTGTTTCTAATGAAATGCTAAATTTAAAAGAGGCGAGATCGTGATATTCATTTATTAATTAAATAATAAAAATCACATCTTATTTATGATGAGGGAAATAACCATTTAATTGAATTGGGAAATTCTCGTTTCCAAAACCATTCTTGATGTTGACCATCAGCAGCAATAACTATTGTCATTTGATTCTTATCATCGTTATATTCTTTTGTTGTATTTTTTAATAAATTAATCATACGTTGCATATCACTAATCATGGTTGAACTTTCTAATTGACCTCCAACAAAATAAAGTCTTGGTGGTGAATTTTTAAAACGATGATTTTGAACATATGTATAAATATCATTTGTAAACCAAAATGATGGACTAAAAACTCCGATCAATCCAAATATATCTTCATGTCTAATAGCAGCATAAAAACTACAAAGACCACCAAGTGAACTACCTAATATTGCTGTATTTTCACGTTCAGGTTTTGTACGAAAACGACCATTTATATATGGTCGAAGTTTTTCTACAATAAAATTTAGATAATTATCAGCTTGACCACCGCCATAGTTTGTATTTGAAAAAGGTGTTAATTCATTAATACGTTCTGAACCACCATTATCAATACCAACAACGATTAGTTCTTGAGATAGTGTATCAAGACTTTCATCGATACCCCATTCACCAGAAAATGATGTACTAACATCAAATAAATTTTGACCATCATGAGCATAAACAACTGGATAACGTCGATTTAAATCAGTTGAATAACTACGAGGAAGATAAATCCAAATACGACGTGTACGAGGAAGATGATTCCACATAGAAAAATTTGTGTCTAAGATATAAACTTGATTAGAAGCTGTATGAACACGACCGGCTGTATCAGACCATTGTTCGACTGATATATCAATGGATTGAGGACTATTCGACTAAAACATATATGAGAAATTCTTTAATAAGAGATTCATTGAAATTATAGAATTTTCAATTTCAAAGGATCCGAGGAAAGGACGTATGAGAAAGTATTTTAGTTCCTTTCGATTATTTAGATTCGATATAGTCAAATCATATATAGAATAACAGATCATGAGCTCCCGATCAATTCGAGATCCAATTTGATATGTTTTGAATGGATTATACGCACAACCTGAGTTTATTTTTTATTACATACTAAATGTACAGTTGACCATTATTAATAGCCAACAATATGTTGAGCGTTCGTTTCAAAGAAAACAAAATAGAGCTCATGTTGAAAAGTTCTTCGGGTAGACCCTTGTTCAAAGTACATTATTAAATTAAAATCATTCCTTAAAAAAAAAGATTTTGATTGGAATAGATTAAGTACAAATCTTCTTTATTTGCATTTTGACATTATATTATGCATGCTTATTACATTTGTTGTTTTACTGTTCTATTAATGAAACTTCCACTCAGCTTCGTTCACTTTATGTTCTAGAGAAATTTTTAAGCGTTACAACACTAAGCACATTTCAAGATCTAAAGAAAGCAGACACTTAAACTCACTATTCTTGGCGTCTAATTTTCGATTATCTTGTCTTGAATATTTTATTTGGAACCAACGCAAAAAACTGAGTGTCTTGACATGTGTATCAAACATTTTCTTCAAGTTTTTTTTTTTTAGTGAAACTTTTATCCTTAGTCTTCGTCAAGGATCAATGAAAAATTATTCTTATTAAAAATTCATTGCGACCATGGAAAGCAAGTTCTAAACTTTTAGAATGCTATTTCAAAACAAAACAAAAATAGTTGATTTGATTAAATTCTTTTTTTGCACACATCTCTCATGGGGTTTAGATGCAGAAGTTTAATAAGAAAAGTCACAGAAAATTTTTGAGACTTAAATAAACCGACTAAGTTTTGGAGTGTTAATTCCAAATGTGATACTTGTTTGGAGTTAAATGGATATTACTCTTCTTGAAAATCGTTAAAAATTAGTCGAAAGAAGTTAAAAATTGGATTTCGTGAATGGTAGACTGATTTACCTAGGAA